ACACACCCCCTTTGCTTGGATACTGTATCAGCTCAAATAATATGGAGAAATGCTTCCTGCTGCATCCACCACACTGCTTTTTGGAGCATCTGACTGTCCTACAATAGCCTCCAAAAAAAAGTTTGAGGAGTAGGGATACAGGCCACATGGCATGTGTAACACCATCAGCACTCATCCCAGCTGACAAAAATGGACTTTGCTTAACTTTCCTTCTTCTCATTTGGCCATTTAAAAAATCTTTCAAATTAGGAACAGTCATATAATTATTAGAATGCATGAGGCAAATATGTATTCAGTATTTATGACTGGACTGATTGTTTGGAGCCGCCTGGTTCTTATTTCTACAGCAGCTGTAAATGGAAGCCTAAGATATGTGGATTTTAACTGCAAGATGTTATCAGAATGACAATGTTACGTGTTCCCTTGCTTCCATCGCACTAGCAAAGTCCTCAGGCTTTTGGAGCAATAAACCAGAGTCCTGTTCCAAAGGGGTATCTGAATGTGTGTGTACACATGCAGCCAGCAGGTTTACTTCACTGTTCTGCTTTGCTTTTCGTTTTAACAGCCTGAGCCAAGGTCCTGCTGCATGTTGTGAACTACCTTTCCTGGTACATTACTGCAAGCCACGCATACTTCACGGGATTAAATGGGAAGAAACAATTAACAGGTGTCTGCAGCAGCAATCACAAGAGGATAAAGTTGAGGGATCAACTCTGGTAAATCAACAGCACCACAGTGACAGCACTAGACAGTTCTCATTATTAGTGTGGCGATCAGGAAATTAAGTTCAATGTGTTCGCTGGAGGAAGCAGCACAATAATCTTTCATGTACTTAAAAAAAGACTAAACCCCTGCTGCCCCTTTTCAGTATTCAGGCACACAAGGCTGCTTTTCGAAGCCTTGCCAGCTGCTTTCTGCAAGGCAGAATAAAACTAAGTATCTTGTCCCTGCAGTCCCACAGCCCTGCCAATTGAGTGCTCTGCACACCCAGAGCAGAGGAGACTTTTACAAAACCTAGCCCTTAGTTTCAGGTGCAAAACCACCTCTTGTAGTTACAGCCTTGTTCAAGTGACTTTTAGGTAGTTCCTTGGTCTTGAAATGCCTGCTGGACTAGGCAGCTAAAACAGTTCCATACATAAAACTGCAGAAAACCTTATCTCCTCTCCAGCTGATGAGCATAAAAAGCACTTCTGTGAAATTAATACAGACAGAGAAGAGGTATTAAAGCAGAACACACAGGAGGACAAAGAGGATTTAGTGTGGCACAAATGACTGCAACATTCATAAAGTTTTCTCCTGTTTCATCAGAGCCAACCCCTGTCCCTCGATAGCTGCAGCTGCTCAGTTCCCTCTGGGAATGTCTGAGCCTCCCAGAACTTCCAATATCTTGGTGAAAGTCCACATGGGAAATCAAAGTTGTCATAGCCTGCACCGTATATCCAAAAAACATATGTGCAAAAGATAAGTTTGTTTCATTCTATTATTTCTCTCTTGTCGACCATGTAGAAAATTGTATGGAAAAACTGCTAGAACGTGTTAATTTAAAAAAAAAAAAAAAAAAAAAAAAGACAGTAGCTGGGAAGCACAAAAGCAGCATCAATGACCCCCACGACCACTTCAAAACCTTTGCTTTATAGTATCACCTATATGCCATCCCCTTAGGCAAATGTTGTACAACGACCTTGTTAACAGTGAGGGGTTATAGAGAAGACAGCAGCTTGATTTGGTTTAATATTAATGAGGGTTCTGCTTGCCCCTGCATCCACAGCTGGCTGCTACTTTTTGTATGGGTCACTGTTTGGAGCTGAATCTCTTCTTGATCCATGCTTTTGGCTGCCTAATACCCAGTGGTGCTGACCCATGTCTGCCCCTACCCCTCCTCCCCAGCACACCAGCGCTGGGCTGCAGAGCAGCTGTGGGGTGGCAGCACCTTCCTGGGGCAGGAAGTGAGCTGGCCTCGGCATGACTTTCCATCCAGAAATCATTTTCCATCTCCTCTCTGCCACCTACCACTGGCTGCAGTACCGCCAAGTTAAAACACAGAATAAAAGCATCTTGCGTGCCTCTAAAAAGAGGTTTCTGCTGGCAAATGCTCACTAAAAATAGCCCCATGTTTGCCTGTGACAGCAGCTGGAGGTCACTTACAGGGGGAGGCAAAGAGCTTGCTTTGCTGAACTCAGTTTCCAGACATCGCAGTGAGGACAGGAAGTTTTGAAGTTTAGTTTCTGCACGGTTCCAGCAAATCTCCAACTAGAGGCAGTGTGGTCCTGGCTAGGCTAGATTCCCCTGCCAGTCTGAGCAGGAGCCTGCTTTCCAACTCCCATCCTCCTTTTTTTGCAGGGAAGCAGACAGGAGATTCATTTGTTAATTAAACTTCCCCAGCTAATTTACATGAAAAAGGGGAAATTGATTCAAAAAGCTCGCAAAACTTCCATAACCCTTAACCTATAAAAGAAAGAGTGGTATGGCCTTTTTCCAAACCTGCCCAAAAAGCACCAGCGGGTTGTCCCAGACCAAGTGATGAATAACAACCAAAAAAAAAAAAAAGAGTTCAGGAATGGCACAGCTGGGCTGAAAATCAGGAACATCTGCTCATAGAAAGTCAAGTGTTGGCTCTCTCCTCTGGCTCCCCCTTTCATCTTTGGATTTTCTCTTAAGTGCTTGTTCAAAGGAATGCCAGCCCATGGGAAAATGACAAAAGGAAAAAAATGCAGACACTGTTGTTACTCAGCAAGGCCAAAAACAGTAGCAAGAGAAGAAAAAATCTTCATGGGAATCCCCCACATCTGAGATGCAGAAGCAAAAATTCACCAGGGAAAAATTCAGCACTGTCAGTCCTGCAGACAGTGCTTTTATCCATGTGGCAGCCTATGTTTATCCAGTTTTCATTACCCACAGATGGTGCAATAGCAGTGAAGAAGAGACAAAAAGAATCCTTAAGAATGGCTAGAGAAAGTCAGAATAGTCACAGAAGATGTAATTTCTTCTTTAAAATGTTTGTTCCTTTATGGATATTCACCTTTTGAACGAGGCCTGTTTAGTCCTTGACCAGAACTCCATGTACAGGAGTGGCACAGAAATCTCCTTTTTGTTCCTGATCCCACTGCACTCACTGAGCCTGTGACAACTCCTAGAGCAGAGACGTGAAACGCTTTACATGCTGCAGCAGCACCTGCACACCTGCAGGCATCCTGACAGCACAACAGCCATGTGCCATTCTACCTGCATCTCTCCCCAGATCGATATTCCCTTCCCTGAGCATCAGCAGGGCAGATGTGCTGACGCAATCGCAGCTCCGGTACCGCACTCAGCATGATGACCTTGCTACCCTGGGCTGGCTGCAAAGCCTGTTCCCGCTCATGAAACCAGCTCTGGTTAACAGCTCCTAAGGGAGAGACCCTCTCAGCAGCCTCCAAAACTACCCTGGCTGTGTCAGGGCTGTGCCACGGTGCAGATGATGGCCTGGGAGAAGAGCTGTCGTGCTCTGCTGCACCTCCTGTCTGGTGGAGCTTCGAGGGCGAGGACCAACACCTGGAACGCTTTACAGCCTGGCCCAAGACATCCCACAGACCCTCTGTACCAACAGCAGGGCGGGGGGAGGTCAGGCAGGGATGCAGGGTGCAGCCAGGGCCGCCACGGGCAGGTGGTCCTCGGCGTGCACGGAGCCCCCCCGCATGCACCGGGACCCCAACACACCCGCTGCCCTGCAGAGGAGGGGGCACCGGGGACCCACGACCGGGCAACGCAGGGAAAGTCCCCCCGGGAAAGCCAGCACGGAGCAGCCGCCCC